TTGTGAGCATCCAGGTGGCGTAGCAGGTCGTTGACTGCTTCCTCTTGGATTATGGGGGGTTCATCCTGCTCGCCGTCCCTGTCCTCCAGCTCAGGGGGCTGAGTACCCTGAGGATAACTGGTCTGCCTGCTAAAGACTGAGGCTAAGAAGGCATTGAGTACCTCAGCCAGGCATTAAGTACCTCAGCCTTTTCCTCATCCTCGGTGACAATGTTCCCCCCCGCATCCAATAAAGGATGGAGATTCTCCTTGGCTCTCTTCTTGTCATTAATACATTTGTAAAAACTTTTTTTTTGTCTTTAACGACAGCGGCCAGGTTGCGTTCTAGCTGGGCTTTTGCCTTTCTCATTTCCTCTCTGCATGACCTAATGAGGTCCCTGTACTCTTCTTGAGTCGCCTGCCCCTTCTTCCACAAGCAGTAAACTCTCCTTTTTTTCCTGAGTCCCAGCAAGAGCTCCCCGTTCAGCCAGGCCAGTCGTCTTCCCCGCCCGTTCTTCTTGCGGCGTACAGGGACAGCCTGCTCCTGTGCCTTTAAGACTTCCTTCTTGAAGATCGTCCAGCCTTCCTGGACCCCTTTGCCCTTCAGGACTGTCTCCCAAGGGACTCTCAACCAGCGTCCTGAACAGGCCAAAGTCCGCCCTCCGGAAGTCCATGGTTGTGTATATGGCTTCTTCTGGAGTTTTAGTGTACGCAGATCTTTCTAATGTTTGCCTGCTCTGATAAGTGATGGCTTTAAATCCAACAAAGACTACGTAAGGTAACTAATACCCCCTTCTGCTTAGCAAGTATAATTTCTGTACACAGCTTTTTAAAACGAAAACATACATTAAAATGAAGCCAGAGCACTTCACAAGGCTTTCAACACAGCTGCAATGAGGAAAACATCTGAAAAGAGACAACTCAATGGGTCCGTAATAAGATGGGCTGTTTCCCCAGGAAACCCCAGGTGGCAAAACCTATTATCAGCAACTGTTAACGAACATGTCCGGCTCTGGGATTGCCGGGCAGCCTGTGCTCTCCCACAGCCTCCTCCCAGGCACCGCCACGCTACCGCCTGCATTGCAGTGACTTGAGCACACCGTGCAAACTATGAGGGTGCTTCTTAAGTAAACAACCCGGACTTAATTAATTTGCAGGACCAAAAGGTGCCTTGTAAGAAAAGCCACTGCAATGCAGTTCAAAAAAAGACGCGTGATTCAGAGTGATGCAGAAGGTAATTCAGGATACAGGTACAGGCACGCCAGAACCAGGGCATCCTCTAAGCTCACAGCTGTCCCCTCTGCTGTCAGAGAGGTGGAAACCAGGCAGAGGCTGAGGACGTCTGCCTGCCCCACGCACCCCACGGGCTCCGGGCTGGCGGCCTTTCCCCTGCCCCCGGCTGGGGGGGCCCAGCACCACCTGGACGCAACAGGCAGGAATACAAACTGCAGAGCGCTGGGAAAAGTCACTCGCTCCACTGAAGTCCCCAGGCCCTGCCACTGACTTCACCGGGCATGTTAGTAGCTGAAAACAAATTTATTGCTTTTATCCTTTCTTTGCCCCCCCCGGACCGTTTGCTCTGTCCTCAGAAGCAGATGAAAACCACTTGTACATAAAACCACCTTGCTGCTTAGCTTTCCAGCATGTTGCTTTTACAGCTGCGTAATGCACGTGTTAAAGACCATATACAGCAGACCCAGATAAATTCACAGTATTACATCTGTGTTATACATGACCTCAGATTCTGACTTGGTCTGCTTTACAGGTTTCATTGTGTCATGATTTTGCATTTAGCAACGTAACATTCAAGCCTCTTTTAAAAGATCTTTTCTATACCCACACAGCAAGCTTTGAACACCTTACTCTTATAGAAAAGCTTGTACCTGACACTCCCATAGCTATCTTCAAGCACCTGATAACTTAAACTTTAATCTGGGCCAAATTCTTCCAGGGTTGACAGAACCCAGTCCAAGCTGAATGATTTAAGCCCACGTACTGGGGAAGCTGGTGCCAAAAATAATGGCTCGGAAGGGGTTTTTTTTCCTCTTTAAATTAAAGCAGGGGACAATTTTGAACCTAATCACAATTCTTGAGTCACTGTATGTTACATGCTTATCGTGGTGAGGAGCAGAGGAAGTCAAACAGAAACATAAACTATTCTACGCTCAATTTAGCTGCAGAAAAACGGAAAGATGGGGGCTGGCAGGTGGGGATTTTCTCTCCCCCTTCCTCCGCCCAGGTCCCACACGGCCGCGCCCGGCGGCCATCGACTGACGTTCCCCCTCTGGAGCTGGTAGGGGCGGGCAGGAACCCTCCCCGTCCC